TATGGACGAATACAAAGTTCTTTAAAACCCGTCGTTCAAAAGGAACCAAAAAGATCTCTGACCTCACCAATAAACTTATGGAAGGGAGACGGAACTTGGTTCTGCAGTCCTCTGAAGATGCTGCTCAGTATCGGCATCTTAACCCAGATACTCCTGAAACTTTTTATACTTTTCAATTTTTATAAATTTTTAGTATGTTTCTAAATAGAGGTCAAGTATCCACAGAAAAATATTAGAAAAATTCTTGGTCAACTGGAAAAGCCGGAAAATGGGTGGTGTTTAAACACCTGGTCGGAGAATGGACTACTACCACAACTACTACTATGAGAAAAAAACATACTATGATTTTGTTAGGTTTAAGAGTTAAAAAGGAGTTGTAAGTTATACTCATTTACTAAAAAAAATACCAAAATTTTATTCAGAGCTATTGTATATGGTAAGACATAAATCATAGCCTAGGATGCTTTAGTACGTGGCGCATTTTTTACACCAAATTGATTTTTTCTTGCAAATTTTACATGTCAGTTGCGTGTAGTACTCGTAAGTAAAGTTGTACACAGGGAGGGATGTAAGCTACGTGGACCCTGGTTGTGGTGCCATTCTTCATAAATATTGTTTAGGAGTATGACTGCTGTGCCATGTATATTTTAGACATTTTGGTACAGAACTTTCACAGAAGGTACTTGAACTATATTGTATTGTTGTAATTGTGATTGCGGTAGGTACTTTCAAGGCAGAAGAACTAACTGCATTGGAGGCATCATTAGATTCATATCGTCTTACTTTTAAAAAAATCAGAGAGCGGGATGTTATCATCTTTATCTGAAGAAGACTAATAAATTGTCGTACAGTACTTCTGCCTAGGCTCTAAGTTGCGAACCTGGAGCTTACACGCTATAAGTAGCAATGCAGAAGCAACGGATGAATATTCTGGTGAAGAAGACCACATTACCTGATAAAATCTTCCAGGTTATAGTTAGATAAACGGAACCAGGCTAATCTGGAAGATTTTGTAAGGTAACGTGGTCTTCTTCACCAGAATATTCATCCGTTGCTTCTGCATTAGCATTTTCTGGTGGTAAAATTGCTATGTGATTCGGTATCTGGGCATCGTCGTCAATGTTTTCTAATACGTCCACAATTTCGTGAAGTCTCAGCGGTCTTTTATATCGTGGCCTAAACTTTTAATGAATATACAGGTTAGACGTGGATTATGCGACCAGGTGTTAAAACACCGATCGTAATTTTGTCATAAAAAGTCTCATAAATGTAAAGCTTTTCAAAAACATATGTTTATTGTTTTGTAGCAAACAGTAGTACATAAAATAATAACTAGTATAATCTGAGGTATTAATAGCAAGTTTATGAAATATCTTACCATTTATTAGACGTTTTTGCACAAAACTAAATAACAGAATTCAAAATAATAAAAAACTAACAAAATAAAGTAAATATGCGATATCGAACATACTCAATTACAGCTTGATTCGTAATGAAGAGAAAATACAAGGAACAGTAAACAAATTCTCGATATTTTTATAATTTATCTGAGGATATTCCGAACTACTTTTTAGCGGTGTTATAACACCTGGTAGGAGTAAGTGGGTTAACAGACAGATCTCCAAGTATTTGACTCACGACCTACGCCAATTTAATACAGATCGTATTAAAGAGGCGATTGAGCGTACCAAAGGCTCTAAAGTGTTCGCAAGGGATCTGTCTGTTGGCCAAAGCCAACTGACCAAGCTGAAGACCGAGGATGGCAGAGACATCTCGTTGGGGCCTGAATTATTGGAAGAGGTTGAGAAGTTCTACGGACAACAACGAGTGTATGTGTACACCTGTCACAAATCTAGCCGGCGACCCAAGAGCTAGATTAACACGACACTACACCGAAAATCTGTTTAGTAGTAGTAGTTTTTGTTTCTATAAGGAACATACAGACAGACAGACAGCCAAAAATTTTACTGATTGCATTTTTGATCACTAATCACCCCCTGATAGTTATTTTGAAAATATTTTTCATGTACAGAATTGCAGCTCACAATCCCAGAAGCTATGCGGCGACTGAAGCGACGGCACATTCTGGACATCATGGAGAGCCAGAATTGACCATGGAGGGAGTCCCAGTGGGGATTCTGCTTTCATCGCCGATAATCACAGAACAAATCTGTTCATAGTCTTCTGACTGATCGCATGATGGAATAAAGGAAAAAAATGTACAGAATTGACCTCTCTCCAAAATTTATTATAAGTATAGATAATTTCTCGACTGGTTCCAAGTATTCCGCGTGCAGAGATCCTACTATTTTATCAGGTCGTCAGTCTATCTTGCCTGTTGCTCTGAGCTACAAAGGGTTGGGGTGGCGATCATTGAAGTTATGGCAACTTACCTAAACTTGGTACTAATGATTGGATGACGATTTCTCTTCCGACTTTTTTGGATCTAGTTTTACTTTTGTGCTTTGAAAGATAGGGCTTAGAGTTGATCCCTAAGAGAGATGTCATACGCACGGGTGGTGTGGTGCGTCGCCGACGCGGCGTCGCAGCAGCGTGGCGCCTGTGCGTAAGATTATGTAGAACTACGGAGCGACACCGTTGCGGCACCGCAGCGCCAACGCCTGTGTGGCATCTCTCATGTACTTGAATCGACTCTTTGTATTAGTCGCTAAGCCTATCCAAGAGCCCTGAGTTGGTATAATACAATCACACCATAATGTTGTCTACTTGCCTTACACAACTCGCAACTAAACTGCACAGGCCTGCGTGGTGGAATATGGTAGGTATGTATTTATTAATCACCCAACAATGGACAAGTTTCGTGATGTTGAAAACATTAGATTTCACTGAATGGGATTAAAATATAGACCAAAACTAAAAAGCCGGTGAAGTAATTTTTGAAATCTATCAAGAAATGGCTGACAAATAAATTATTTAAATTACCTCCATATTTTCGCGTGGAACTTAAACATAGGCGGTGCCGTGATGTCAGGCCACCTTTTCAAGTTTTAATCACAATGCTTACCACCCCTAACGCATTGTCGAGAATGACACTATAGAGTCGCATTACAATGTCAAAGTCTTCTTTTTCTTTTTAAATCAGTGGGTCTAGACAAAGTGCAAATTATAATCGCAAACCAGTCGAAAAGTGGTCGAAAAGCCCCTTTTTTGTATGGAGTTTTGACGGATTCGATTTTCGATTCGATCAAAAAGTGCGTTTTGTCTAGGGGGGCTGCCCCCCTAGACAAATCGATCGAATCGAAAATCGAATCCGTCAAAACTCCATACAAATAATTAACTTTTTNTGAAAAAACGGAAAATTATAATTTCTCCTAAAATAAAGCATAAAGTGACTGGCCCTTTTAGACATAACATAATTAATTAATAACCTATAATTTACACTAATAAAGTATTCAAAAGCATCTTAAAAAAGTTACGGACAAAATGACGTCGAAAATATACAGATTTTTATGGAATGACCCTTTTATATTATGTTACTAATAAACCAGTAGGCTGAGTGTGAGTTTACATCAACAAAAATACTTATGTATCTGCTATATTTTCACAATTGTATCTAAAATACAGGGTGTAAACCTTTATCTATCTTCAATACAGATACGGCGTTTACAATATTTTTTTGGTTTTAACGCTAAAAACTGCCATTTTTCCGTGGCATTTTTTATTTTTGTCAATGCTACTAACAACTAATAACGTAGGTATTNCGCCAGAGAAAACTATTTTGCCTGTAGTTAGAGTCTACCTTGGGGATGTATAGTGGATCATTATTGCGCAGAATTCTTTTTGGAGCATTAAATTGAATGTTAGCTAGGAGTTCAGAGCAGTCAATCTCAGCTGTGATAACTTTTATAAGATATGTGATATCAGATATTTCACGCCTAATGGCAAGAGGAAGGATGTGATGCCTTTTTGCCTTTTAACCGATTTTAACAGAGGGTTTATAATTTGCACTTTGTCTAGACCCACAGTGGGTCTAGTCAAAATGCCATCGCAAACCAATAGGAAGTTTTCGCTAATGTCAGTCGCCGCGTCACCAGTTATTCGATTCGATCGGAAAATGGCAGCCAAAATGCACATTGAACCACCAACGACGCGGCGATATATAAGTTCATTCAAAATCGAATAAAAGTTAAAAAATGTCTATGATTTTGCGATTGTTTTTACTTTTTTAGCTTTTTTTTTTAATTAGTAGTAGTCTTCCTTCTTTCTGCTCTCTGTTTACGTCTATGCTTCGCTGTCAAACTAGCTGTCAAAACGACATCGCGATACGGATTTGTCAAAACAGCCTTAGGGTTGGTTGCACCATCTTAGTTTAACTTTGACAAACGTCTGAAATCTGTCAAATTCCATACAAAAAACACCGGTTAACGTCATAGTTACGGTCAAAGTTAGGTGGTGCAACTCACCCTATTGGTTTTCGATCGAATCGAAGTTTATCACCGGGGTTTTAGTAATCGCAATGAAAATGGCGGGTGATTCGATTCGAATTTGATTGAATCTTTTAAATGCATGTTGGCTAAGCCTTTGCATGGGAAATTTCAATCCAGTCTTTCGATTATCGATAGGTAGGGCTTTGCGATTCGATTTTTTGCCGTTTGGCTAAGCCTTTTTTGTTATCGACCTCTTTTGCGATTTGTTTATTTGTTTGCGACTGGTTTGCGATGGGTTTGCGATTTTAAAGTGCGTTTTGACTAGACCCACAGGGGTGATTTACTGTTTGTACTTCGAATACTGTCGTGAATACTTCGAATCAAAATGGCGCGAATTTTGTTATGTGCAACTTTAGAGCCATGTAACTTTTGTATTTCTAGAGATATTTTCATGATTCTTCCACAATTATTTTATTAGTTTTACTTATATTTTCAAGTTTTATCAAAAGAAAAAAATCAGAAACATCCATTCTTGCAAAGAAAATAATAAAAGTTTATTTTGCAGACCATCATCATGACCTTCTTAGTTTTAGTTTTACAAACAAAAAACAGTGCTTTTTGCTAAGAGTTTATTTCAATATCAAAATAACAGTAGTACATGTTCAAGTGAAAGAGTTCTTGACAAAGACTTCTTCTTATTGTTTATTCCATCACAGTGTAAGACTGGCGTCCATCCCGTGTGAGTGGGCTATGGAACATGACCCACCTACGATTGGACCACTCACTGGCCGCAGTTCTGGTGAAGGCTTGGACTCTCGCAAGGTACCAGATGTCATACTGAAGGCCTCCTACACTGCTGCTGGTCGTACTAGCGTCAACTACAACCTCGCTGAATATCTTGCCTTGTTCGTTGGTTAGATCCTGCAAAAAACGTTGATTTATTAGGCTTTTGTTTATCATTGTCTTTTTTAGCGTAGGCATTAATTGAATACCTACTGAATAAATTTAGCAATCTGAAAATACACGTCTTGCAATGTGATGTTGTAATTTATTGTTACAGTTTTGCATGCTATTGTATATGTCCAGAAACGTTAAAAACTAACGTTAGCTAATAATCAAATAATCAAAATTAAATAAGATTACAGTAAATTGTAACACTGCTAGCAAAAAATTCACACATGAATGTGTGTTATTCACTACAGGGCCCAGGGTAAATAACTGTTGGCTGGGTAAATAACTGGTCCCATACTGTCATCTGAAGTGTTGTACGAGTAGTTGCAAATAAAAGAAAAAGTAATCTTGTTCTAACTATAGTAAATTATAATAATAGCTAATATACTTAGGTGAAGTAGGTATTAAACAAAGTTATATGACTTACCGATCCCTGGTCCCATACTGTCATCTGAAAAGAAATATTGATATCAATATTTGCAAAATTTTAGTTACAAATCATCATCATCATCATTTCAGCCAGACGTTCACTGCTGAACATACAAAGGTAGGCCTCCCCCAATGATTTCCATATTGCCCGTTGTTAGCGGCCTGCGTCCAGCGCTTTCCTGCTACCTTTATGATGTCGTCGGTACCTACACTTTCAAGTTAGAATTACTTTGAAGTAAAACTGAATAATATCAGTGGAAATTAATAATATCTATCTCACTCAAAGGTTCGCGGACAATCAAGTATATTAATTTGTCAGAAAAAACAAGAAAACGATACCTGCTTTCGATTTGATTTCTGCAAAAACATTATTTTTTGCAAAAACTGCTAAAGTTCACTATTAATATTGCTAAACAAAAGAGCAAAACTAAAACAAAAATTTTATGGTAAATGAAATCTATACCTTGTATCCAAGAATTTCTGGGTTCTCCACAGGGTTCCATGCTAGCATCACGGATTTGTCACCATCTTTATGAAATGTTGTTTCAAATCCAGTTACTGTTGGAGTAGGAATTTGTTCAGCCACCCTGGCCACGTAGGCCTGGCAAGCAGCCACGAACAGCAAGAAGAATAAGCACTTCATCATCTTGATTTGGATTGTCTATGACTTGTCAACTTGAGGTCTGATGCAGCAATGTCTTGGTAGAACATTGTACAGGTATAAATAGTCGTTTGGAGATAAGGATGACTGTGATTGGGGAAATTTGATAATGATGGCGACAACATAAAGACCTATTTTATCACAATAATATGCTTCGGCAATGGTTGGAAAATACAGGTTTAATATACTTAATTTCAATTAGTTAATCCGTTGATAAAAATGATGATGAAATTTTCAAAAATCTTATACTAAGTCACAGCCACAAGAGGATGTTTTTAGGGTTCCGTAGTCCTGAAAAGGAACACTTATAGTTTCGATATGTCTGTCCGAGGTTTTGCTTGGAAACTATTGGCACTAGAGAGCTGTAATTTTGTGGAAGTGTAACGTATATTCATCACGCCGACAAAACGGTACAATAAAATTTTGTAAAAAAATTTTTTTTTAGAGTAGCTCCCCTACATAAAGTGGGGATGGTTTTTTTGTCTTCTTCTACCCCATCGTGTGGGGTATCGTTTGATAGGTGTTTTAAAATGACTTAGGGGTTTTTAAGACCATTTTTCGATTTAGGGATCCGTTTGCAAAATGTTAAAGTTTAAAGTGCTAATTTTTTTTCGAGTAGGGCGTCCTCCTCTCTAAAAACTAAACTATTGGTCATGATAATAGTGCTTTTTATGAACTTTCAAGGAAAACTATAACGGTTAAGATAGAACAGTTAGTTTAAGAGAAATAGTCGTTTTACTCATGTGTTATAAAATTTCATAGCTTATAAAAATTCCTTAGAAGAAAATAAGTTAAAAGTGACTTTAGATGAAGTAATTGCTTGCTTCTGAAATATATTGTGGTAACAAAAGACAACTACGGAACCCTACACTGCGCGTGACACGACACGCACTTGGCCGGTTTTTTAAAGTGTTTTTTATATTGATAATCATCAGTACCTATAATAACAGTGTACTATCACAGTAAAACAGTTGATAGGCTGATGATGACGTGTCGTGTTTTGTTCAAGACATTTAAAACATTTATTTATTTTCAACTAGCGGCCGCCCGCGACTTCGTACGCGTGGATCCCGTTTTACCCCCTTCATCTATCTTACGCGGTTTAGATTTTTTCATACAAATGTTTTTTCCCGCTTACTCCCGTTTCCGTGGGAATTTTGCAATATCCTGTAGTAACTAAGCTTTAAGTTTATTAAGGTACCTGAATGCCAAATTTCAAGTGTCTAACTTAAGCGGTTTAGATTTTTCATACAAAAGGATTTTCCCGCTAATTCCCGTTCCCATGGGAATTTCGGGAAATCCTTTCTTAGTGCACCTCTACGGTACTTAAACTACGTCCCTTCCAAATTTCAAGTGCCTACGTTTAGCCGTTTAAGCTTAAGACTGCACACGCGACGGAAGCTTAAAAAATGGAGTAATTTCTCCCGTTTTCCCAAAATTTTCTCTTCACTACTCTGCTCCTAAGTATACTATAACCTGCCCAGGAGTATGAAGAATAATTGTACCATGTTTCGTTAAAATCCTTCGAGTAATTTTTGTTTCTATAAGGTACATACAGACAGACAGACAGACAAAAATTTTACTGATTGCATTTTTGGCATCAGTATCGATCACTAATCACCCCCTGATAGTTATTTTGAAAATATATTTCATGTACAGAATTGACCTCTCTACAGATTTATTATAAGTATAGATAAGCTACAGCGTCAATTTAAAATAAAGTAAATTTCAAATGGCTAGGCTATTAAGGCCATTCTTTATTTAACTTTTAATCCTAGGGTCATCGTTCGTTCATTTCAACCAACGTCCACTGCTGGTCAAAAGCCTCCCCAAGGATTTCCATAACAGTCCTGTGCTGCCCGCATCCCGGTACTTCCCGCAACCTTCATGAGATCGTCGGTTCACGTAGTGGGGGGCCTGCCCACACTACGTCTTCCGGCCCGTGGTCCGCCACTTGAGAACTTTTCTGGAATTTATTGAAATGTTTAATAATTAATTAATTTAATAATTTTGCATGTCAGAAATGACAAATCGTGAGACCTAACCATTAACTGTATCCATCTTATGTACCACAAATAAATTAATGATGATTCTGATTCTGATTCTGCCCCAGCCGACATCATCTCTACAAGCTACGTGCCTCGCCCACTGCTATTTGAGTTTAGCAATTCTGTGGGCTATGCCCGTCACTTTGGTGATGTCCTCATTTCTGATTCGATCACGCAGGGAAACTCCGAACATAGACCACTCCATCGCACTTTGGGCGCCCTTGAGCCTTGTTACGAGGCCCATTTAAACTATTGCACGCCACGATAAAATGTCTAAAGGAGTTAAAAGTTGTTTTTAGCTGGGTTGCACCATCTTACTTTAAGTTTGATAAACGTCAAAAATCTGTCAAACTTCAGACAAAATTTTAAACTTTTACGGTCACTAACATGTTACGTTATGGTTAAAATAAGATGGTGCAACTGAGCCTTAGGCTGGGTTGCACCATCTTACTGGGGACGCCAGCGGACTGTGATGGTACACTGTGATAATAAACTAATTATTATTATTATAAAAAACAAGAGTTTCAAAAATGTTACGGCTGTGACTCATATAATAATCAGTCCTCGAATAGACAGTCACAGATTTTTTATAAGGTCATTAATATTATTTTATTAATGGATTATTTATTGATGTCAGATTGCCAGAAAGCACTGACCAATACCTAAGAATATTATGTATGAATAAGGCTATCAAATTTTCTGTAATCACAGTATCCTTATCTCCAAACGACTATTTATACCTGTACAATGTTCTGCCAAGGCATTGCAGTATCAGACCTCGAGTTGACAAGTCATAGACAATCCAAATCAAGATGATGAAGTGCTTATTCTTCTTGCTGTTCGTGGCTGCTTGCCAGGCCTACGTGGCCAGGGTGGCTGAAGAAATTCCTACTCCAAGAGTAACCCATTTCGATACATTTCGTCGAGTTGATGGCAACTCCGTGCTGTTAGAATGGAGCCCTGTGGAGAACCCAGAAATTCTTGGATATAGGGTATTTACTATAAAACACTTGTTTAAGATTATGTTGAAAAAATTAGAATTTAAATATATTTTCTTGCAATTTTACCCAAACTCGAATATAAGTACCGTTTTCTTGATTTTTCTGACATACTCATATAATAGAGATAAACATTATTCATTTCCACTATTTGGCTTTGTCTTTATTTACTTCAAAGTTAATTGTAAGTAAAACTTAGCAAATTTATTTATTAAAATGTTTCATTTCAGATGACAGTGTGGGACCAGGGAACGGTAAGTCATACAACTTTGTAATTACTTATTAGTTTTATCAAAATAAGTTTTTCTTTTATTTATAACAATAACATTAGTTATTTATACTTAAATTGACCTTTTTGTTAGCAGAGTTACACAAAATTACTGTAATCTAATTTAATGTTGATATACAGGGTGTTTGGCGGAAGGTTAGACAAACTTCGTGGGTGTATAGGTAAGGTCATTTTTAGAATACAAGTTCGCCCATTTGACCTTAAAAGTGGGCTAATTTTTTTTTGAATTGATATTTTTGTTTTCATTTAATTTTTTCCGAATTTTGACCTAAAAACTGCTTAAATTTTTTATCGCGTGTTTTCAACCGTTTTTATTTAAAATAAATAATAAATAATAAATAATAAATAAATAATAAATCGTTTATTTTATTAATGGAATTTCAAATCCAGATAATGATTGGATAGCTAGTTACGAGCCGCCAAAGTTTAACAAAAGTACAAACCACGATAAAAAAATCAACTTGGAATTCGATTAAAAAAAAAAATTAAGGTGATAGTGGATTGCCAATGATCTTAAAAACATCTCTAACTTCTCTTCTTTCCAATGATATACCACAATGTAGTAATTAGATATTGAAATTCGTCAAAAATTCGAAGTTTATGGAAGAAAATGGAATAATAATACAAAAATTTTCCATAATAATATAAAGCTTCTTCTAACACCACTATCGCCTTTAATTTTTTTTTAAATCGAATTTTAAGTTGAATTTTTTATCGCGGTTTGTACTTTTGTTAAACTTTGGCGGCTCGTAACTAGCTATCCAATCATTATTTGGATCTGAAATTTAGTTTATTTGACTAAAAATATATTCGATATTAATATCAAATATCAAAAGCTGTTGAAAACACGCGAGAAAAAAAATTGAGGCTAGGTCAAATATTGGAAAAAATTAAACAAAAACAAAAATATCAATTTAAAAAAAAGTAGCTCACTTAGGGTCAAATGGGCGAACTTATATTCTTAAAATGACCTTACCTATACACCTACGAAGTTTGTCTAACCTTCCGCCAAACACCCTGTATTTATTGTCAACTAATGTTAATACCTACGTTATTAAAATAAGACAATGATGAACAAAAGCCTAAAAAATCAACGTTCATTTTCCAGGATGTATCCAACATATCCGACGATCTGAGCAACATACATGGGGAAGTTGTAGTCGACGCGAATACGAAAAGCGCCAGTGTAGGAGGCCTTCAGTTGGACACCTGGTACCTTGCGAGAGTCCAGGCCTTCACCAGAACTGCGGCCAGTGAGTGGTCCAACCGTAGGTGGGTCATGCTCCATAGCCCACTCACACGGGATGGACGCCCGTCTTACACTGTGATGGAATAAACAATAAGAAGAAGTCTTTGTCAAGAACTCTTTCACTTGAACATGTCCTACTGTTATTTTGATTTTGAAATAAACTCTTAGCAAAAGCACTGTTTTTTGTTTGTAAAACTAAAACTTAGAATGTCATGATGATAGTCTGCAAAATAAACTAACATTATTTTCTTTGCAAGAATTGTTGGGTGTTTAATAAATACCTACCATATTCCACCACGCAGGCCTGTGCAGTTTGGTTGACAGTTATGTAAGGCAAGTAGACAACCGTGTGGTGACGGCAGAGTAGAATACATTTGTCACCAACCCCTACTCTTCCCGCGGGTGTCGTAAGAGGCGACTTAGGGACTACACATCAAACAGAGAATGGGCAGCAGCGCTCTCT